CAACCTTGTGACCCTTGAATGCGCTGAATCTCCAAAAAGGTACATTGAAATGGTCTTTTACCCTAAACCCTAAACCAGCCTAAACCCTAAACCCCTAAACCCTAAACCTTAAACCCTAAACGGAAGCATTGAAGGGTTGCTTCGTGGATGCCCAACATCCAGCCATCTTTGAGGGACCCTTGGATGCAACCTTTTGACCCTTGAACGCGCTGATTCTTAAGAGAGGTGCATTGAAGGGTCTTTTCGATGCATTGAAGGGTTGTATCGTGGGTGCCCAACATCCAGCATCTTTGAGGGACCCTTGGATGCTACCTTGTGACCCTTGAACGCGCTGATTCTCAAAAAAGTTGCATTGAAGGAATTTTATCGTGGGTGCCCAACATCCAGCAGCATCTTTGAGGGACCCTTGGATGCAACCTTTTGACCCTTGAACACGCTGATTCTTAAGAGAGGTGCATTGAAGGGTCTTTTGGATGCATTGAAGGGTTTTATCGTGGGTGCCCAGCCAACATCCAGCAGCATCTTAGTCTTTGAGGGACCCTTGGATGCAACCTTGTGACCCTTGAACGCGCTGATTCTCAAAAAAGTTGCATTGAAGGGTCTTTTCTATGCATTGAAGGGTTGCTTCGTGGGTGCCCAACATCCCACCTAAAAGGACCCTGGATGATGTAATTTCACTGTCACTGCTGATAGGCAACCCAGTCGCTCCCCGTGTTGCCAGGCTGCTTTGGTGCCCACACCGGCGCCAGCCGACGCTCCGACTTTGTGGCCTGAGTTGCTGAGACTGGTTCCTAGTCATAGGTTCCCAGGCTCCCAGGCTCCCAATATTTAAGATTTTAAGGTTGCTGCCAGGCTCCATGGTTGTTCGCCTGGGTTCGCCTCTGCCACCGTCATCTGTCCACCCTTTAAGGGCGGACAGATGACCGTGGCAGAGTCGCTCAGGGAGTCTGGGGACATGGAAACCTTGCCGGTGGCCGTTCCGTGGATGTTCACTGCCGGTGCATGCAACAGAGCAGCAACAGACTTCAGGCCCCAGGCGCCACACGCAGCATCAATCGAACCAGGTGTTTCCACTGGAAACACCTGGTTCGAATTGATGCTGCGGGGAATGCACGGCGTGCACGCGGAACATCAATTGCAGGTCCAGGCTCAACGGCTTGGAAAATTAAGCATGCGCCGTGGAGTCCTCATCGTCATCATCGATCATCAATGTCATCAGGTTCCCAGGCCCGTTCCAGGTTCATGGGCCGCAACATCATCATCACCATCATCATCATCATCAGTCATCTGAGTCATATGCGAGGCTTCCAGGCCCAGAGGGCCCAGAGGATATGCGTGCCACGGGCTTGTAGAGTTGACTTGCAAGTTGTAGTCCAGCCGGATTGGTCTGAGAGTTTTAGGTGTCACAATTTCTGGAGAAAAACAGTGTGGAAGCGGCAGAGATTCTGCCGCTTCCGCGCCGTCCCAGGTTCACGGGCATGCAGGAGAGCGTGTCGAAGCTCGAGGTGTTCTCCTGCATGCCGTGCCCGTGTGGTATCGGCTTCCAGGTTCAGCTCGGCTAAAATAAGTTTTCCTAACCAGTCCGGCTTCGCGACTGTTGCCGAATTCATCTGCGGCTGAAGATCTGCCGCAAGACTCCCTCCCTGGCTGGGCCGAGACATGTGCCGTTACATGACAATCATCACGAGGCTCGGGAAAGGTTCGGTTCCTAGGTTCCCAGGCTCCCAGGTAGAATAGTTCGTTGGGTTGCCAAGCTCAGTCTGTTACCCTCAGTCAGGGAGTCTGTGTTCGGCAGAACTTTGAATTGCTCCGCTGGCAACCCAGCTCCCTGGGCTGATAAAATATAATAATAGTTCCGTGGAGTCCTCATCGTCATCATCTGTCATCAATGTCATCAGGTTCCCAGGCCCGTTCAAGGTTCATGGGCCGCAACATCATCATCACCATCATCAGTCATCAATGTCATCAGGTTCCCAGGCCCGTTCAAGGTTCATGGGCCGCAACATCATCATCACCAGCACCATCATCATCTTCAGTCATCAGTCGAGGTTTCCAGGCCCAGAGGGCCCAGAGGATATGCGTGCCACGGGCTTGTAGAGTTGACTTGCAAGTTGTAGTCCAGCCGGATTGGTCTGAGAGTTGAAGGTTTCACAAGGTTGCTGGGTTCTAACACTCTTTGCCTGTTTGCCTGTTCCCACACGGGCTAGGAGAGCGTGTCGAATCGACATGCTCTCCTGCATGCCTGTGTGGTATCGGCTTCCAGGTTCAGCTCGGCAACCGCAAATGAAATTATTAAGTTTCTCCTAACCAGTCCGGCTTCGCGACTGTTGCCGAATTCATCTGCGGCTGAAGATCTGCCGCAAGACTCCCTGGCTGGGCTGAGACATGTGCCGTGACATGACAATCATCACAAGGCTCGGGAAAGGTTCGGTTCCTAGGTTCCCAGGCTCCCAGGTAGAATAGTTCGTTGGGTTGCCAGGCTCAGTCTGTTACCCTCAGTCAGGGAGTCTGAACCCAGCTGAGACGTGTGCCGTGGCATGACAGTCATCATCGAGGCTAATTAAATTTTAAATAAAGATATAATTTTAACACATGCCCCGTGGAGTCCTCATCGTCATCATCTGTCATCAATGTCATCAGGTTCCCAGGCCCGTTCAAGGTTCATGGGCCGCAACATCATCATCACCATCATCAGTCATCAATGTCATCAGGTTCCCAGGCCCGTTCAGGGTTCATGGGCCGCAACATCATCATCATCATCACCATCATCATCATCAGTCATCAGTCGAGGTTTCCAGGCCCAGAGGGCCCAGAGGATATGCGTGCCACGGGCTTGTAGAGTTGACTTGCAAGTTGTAGTCCAGCCGGATTGGTCTGAGAGTTTTAGGTTTCACAAGGTTGCTGGGTTCTAACACTCTTTGCCTGTTTGCCTGTTCCCAGACACGGGCTGCAGGAGAGCGTGTCGAAGCTCGGCATGTTCTCCTTCAGCCCGTGTCGTATCGGCTTCCAGGTTCAGCTCGGCAATCGCAAATGAAATTAATTAAGTTTCTCCTAACCAGTCCGGCTTCGCGACTGTTGCCGAATTCATCTGCGGCTGAAGATCTGCCGCAAGACTCCCTCCCTGGCTGGGCTGAGACATGTGCCGTGACATGACAATCATCACGAGGCTCGGGAAAGGTTCGGTTCCTAGGTTCCCAGGCTCCCAGGTAGAATAGCTGGGCTGAGACCTGTGCCGTGGCATGACAGTCATCATCGAGGCTACAATAATAAATTTAAATAAATTTAATAAGCATGCCCCGTGGAGTCCTCATCGTCATCATCTGTCATCAATGTCATCAGGTTCCCAGGCCCGTTCAAGGTTCATGGGCCACAACATCATCATCACCATCATCAGTCATCAATGTCATCAGGTTCCCAGGCCCGTTCAAGGTTCATGGGCCGCAACATCATCATCACCATCATCATCATCAGTCATCAGTCATATGCGAGGCTTCCAGGCCCAGGGGGCCCAGAGGATATGCGTGCCACGGGCTTGTAGAGTTGACTTGCAAGTTGTCTGTAGTCCAGCCGGATTGGTCTGACAGTTTCTAAAAGGTTGCTGGAGACTAACACTCTTTGCCTGTTTGCCTGTTCCCAGACACGGGCTGCAGGAGAGCGTGTGCAAGCTCGGCATGCTCTCAACCGCTACTCGGGAAGCCGGACTGGTTAGGAGAAACATCATCATAATATGATGATGCTGCTCCTCACCAGTCCGGCTTTGCGACTGTTGCCGAATGCATCTGCGGTTGAAGATCTGCCGCAAGACTCCCTCCCTGGCTGGGCTGAGACATGTGCCGTGACATGACAATCTGACAATCATCACGAGGCTCGGCAAAGGTTCGGTTCCTAGGTTCCCAGGCTCCCAGGTAGAATAGTTCGTTGGGTTGTCAGGCTCAGCACAGGTCTCAGCCCAGGGAGCTGGGTTGCTTGCGGCGAGTCTTGTTCCGTCGCAGATTCAGTCGAACACAGACTCCCTGACTGAGGGTAACCAGTCATCATCGAGGCTTGGAAAATTAAGCATGCCCCGTGGAGTCCTCATCGTCATCATCTGTCATCAATGTCATCAGGTTCCGAGGCTTGTTCAAGGTTCATGGGCCGCAACATCATCATCACCATCATCATCATCAGTCATCATCATATGCGAGGCTCCCAGGCCCAGATCCCTTAAAATTTTTCGGGAGGGTCGACGCACACACCAAGATTAGAAACCCTAAACCCCTAAACCCTAAAAGCGACCCAACAGGGCCGCCTCGCAACACGACTATAGCGACCCGAAAGGGCCGCCTAGCAACACTACTTTCTGTCGCACCCGCCTCCAACTCGAACTTTGTCTCCCCTTCCGTGCCCTCTGCAGGCTTCTCACTGAAGGGGTCGTAGTCCTTGTCCTCCTCCTCCTCCTTCTGCTCCGCCTTTGCAACGGCGCCCAGACCTTTGCCCTTTTTAGGGTTGATCTTCCGCCTCTTACATGGCGTCGCTGCGGCACTACCTTCCGGCTCTGGGCTCGACATTTCAGTCGGCTCGGAGCCAAGCGCCTGCGAAATAGAAAACACATATCAGCACTTGCTCTTTCCAAGCGATGAAAGTCACCGCCTCTATATGGCACATGTACAGCGACCAAAGTGGCCGCCTGCAGCTTGGTATTTGTGTATCTCGTAACACAGAAACAAATATAAATAAGTATATACATATATATATATATATGTACCTGTATACATACATACATATATATATATATATACATACATACATACCTACATACCTACATACATACATACATACACAAAAGCAGCGACCATATAATGGCCGCCGGCTGCTTAGATAATATATACATATATATATATATGTATGCAAGGAGCTAGCGACCATAGTGGCCGCCTTTCGCTTGCCGAGGCAGGACCCAGAGGGCCGCTTTTTCTGAAACCCCTGCAGTAGATACCCTTGGTTTTTCTCTCCAAGCGGGCTCAGACTTCCGTCGTCCACTTGTACTTGAAGTTCGTCTCCTTCCTCGTAGGCTTCGTGACCTCCACGAACTTCTTCCACTTCTTGGCCATCCGCTCAGCCGCCGCCGCGAGCTTCCTGTGCCGTGCCGTCGTGACGCCCTTCCTCTTCTCCTTCTCCAAAACCTCCCTCGAAGCCGCCCTGCCAGGCAACTCTTCAGTCTCCGTCAGCAAGGAGGCGGACTCTGGCACGGACTCTGGAACGCTCGGCGGCAGCTCCTTCTTTGCCGTCGCCAGCAGACCAGCTGCCACAGTCGCATTGCCTTGCACGGCCAGGGCCGCTCGTATGGACATCATGTCCATGACCCGCTTCGTGCCATGCCAAAACCGCACCACACGGCCTTCCTTGATCACCCGAGATTCCAGTCGCCTTCGCATGGCACCGGCTCTAAACTAGACTTGAAGCAAAGCAGCTGCCAGCACCGCCAGCTTGCCGAGCACAGTCCCTCCCTTGCAACGTGCATGCAGCGACCCAGGGGGCCCGCCATGTATTTGACTGTAATATATATATATATATATATATATGCCATGTACATTGCAGCGACACTATATAGCCGCCGTTCAACTTGCATGCAGCGACCCAGGAGACCGCCATGTATTTGACTACAAAAAGTATATACATGCCATGTGCATTACAGCGACACTATACATAGACGCCGATGATCGATATAATTGTATATTGTGTATATGTGCAGCGACTCTATATATGAGGCCGCCGTGAACATAGGTATGTATATATATATATATATATAACATTATGTCATCAATATATATATATATATATATATAGATATACTGCTCATGCAGCACTGTCTCACTCGAAATCCTTTTCTTTCCAACGTGCACCAGGTCGTGTCGAAAGAACACGTGGCGGAGGTAGTGGTACGGACCCTGCTCGTGCGACAAGCCAATATAAATCAGGATGCAAGGAAAGCCTGCTCCGAGTTGCCGGTTACATGCATTTATACCCTATATGCTTGCATCCGTGATTTATACAGGCATGTGCAGCAGGGGTCTTCTGCTTGTGGGCCTCGCAGAGGAGGTAAAGAAACTTGTGGGCCTCACACAGGAGGTAGAAAACTCGGAACTTCCAGGCCTCGCTGTAGAGGCAGGAACTGAAAACACTTGTCCAGACTCAGCCCTCAGCTTGCTCCGGCTTCTTGGTAGCAGCTTTCTTCGCAGCCCTCTTAGGCTTTGCGGCAGACAAGGAGTTCTTGAGCAGGGTGGCCTCGGTCGTGACGTGGAGAAGCTCGAAGCTCAGACTTGCTCCCACTGTGCTTGCGGCCAGGAAGGCCTGGGCCTCTGCCAAGAGCTGCGGGGCCTTGCTGCTGCTTTTGGTCTCTTCCGAAACCTTCGCAAGCAGCGGCAGGAGCTCAGACACGGCTTTGGAAGCCGCCGCTGTGTGCTTCTTGAAGTCCTTCTGCAGCTGCTTGTTCTTGTGGGCTTCCCGCTTCAGGCGGTCCCGCCTTTCCTGCTTGGTCTCAGTGCCGTTCTCCTCGTCGTCTTCGGCGTCCGAGAGCAAGCCCAAGTCCTCCGTCTCTGCACCTGCCGTTGCACTCGAAGCTCCAGCTGCAGCCGCTGCCGCTTGTAACGCCCTGGTCCCTTTCCCCTTCTTCGCACGCAGGTTCACAGTCGTGCACTCCTTGCGCTTCAAGGTACTCTTCTGCGAGGTGGACTCACTCAGGACCGTCATCTTATAGCAAGGTCCGAGCCGCGGATGGTCAAGGAACTCCCCGGCTTCTTTCACGAGTTCGGGATCCCATCCTCTCATCACCAAGACAGAGAGCGGGAGGAAGTCGCCTCCTTCGCTGCTCTCGTGGGACTTCTCGGTGGTCTTCTCCAGAACTTGGACAACAGCGGTACTCACTTTTTCGTGAATTAGCCGCCCTGTCCTCTCGTCTGTGTACTTCTTGACGTCGCCGTAGAAGTCCACGAGCTGCTCGGAGGTCAAGGAGGTAAAGCCTTCCGGCAACTCCAGCTTGGACACGAAGGCGGACAAGCGGTTGCAGGGCTTGCAGAGGTAGCTGTTCTTCGACTTCTGCAGCAGCAAGCTCGCCGGGTGAGGCTTCTTGCACTTGGCACAAGTGAGCAGCTCGCCCAAGCTTTCCGCGACTTGAGTCTCCTGCACGGCCTCCTCAACCTGGGTCTCCAAGGCGTCCATGGCACCTGCCGTGCCTAAAAGCAAGGGCTCCCAGGGCTGCTTCTGGACACAAAACTGCTGCCGGCCGGGTCCGATTCGGATTCTAGCGCATTCTAGTGCGTTCTAGTGCGGGCCACCTCTGGGCCCTCAGCCTGGGTCCCCTTATAATAGGATCCTCTTATAAGGGGCTCATCCCGGATTGTAGTGCATTCTAGTGCGTTCTAGTGCGGGCCACCTCTGGGCCCTTTGGGGCCCGGCCTGCGGTTCTGAGGCTGGATTCTGGGCCCAGTTTACAAGGCCCCAAGGCAGGATTCTGGGCCCTGTTTAGAAGGCTCCAAGATGCAGTCCTCCCTCCAATGATGGGCCAGTGAAGTCACGGATGAGGACACTGCTAAAGCGACCCAGAGGACCGCTCTTATCCAGGTTAAGACGAATATCGTGCAGTAGCTATATAGCCCTACACTATGCACTGCAGCGACCTGGAAGCCCGCTCTTATGAGACAAGAGTCCCTGGGTGAGGACACGGCGACAGCGAGGCGGAGGACCACTCTTATGGGTTAACACGAATATGCAACGACCCGGAAGACCGCTCTTATAAGATATAACTGCAGCGACCCAGAAGACCGCTGTCAGACAGTTGCATACTTGTTGTTATTCACATGTCTGTTATACAGTATATATATATATATATATAGTTACACCACACACTGCAGACAGGGTCGCTGTGCGAAGCGAGAAGTAGTAAAAACAGGACACTGCAGCAGCGACCCAGAGGATAGGGGCTATATGTATATATACATATATATATATATATATATATGCACTGCAGCGACCCAGAAGACCGCTGTCATTATAGAAAAGTGTTTGGATGAGGACACAACTCCAGCGACCCAGAGGACCGCCCTATATAAGAACACGATTTAAACAACAACTAGCTATATACCTTCAGCGACACCCAAGCGCCGCCGAAAAACAACTGTGCACTGCGAAGCTCAACTGCCGGCTTCCCTATAAGCAGATCTTCTTTTTCACTTGTGCCGCTTCCCGCCTTTCTTCTTCTTCTTCTTGAAGACCGTCCTTTCGACGTGTCTCTTTGAGACCATCCGCCTCAGAGCTTCCGTGGTCTTCGGGTTCTTGGCCTCCTTCTCCTTCTGCTCCTGAGTTCGGGATAGGGTTTGGGGTTTAGGGGCTTATATAGGCATCAGGGTTTAGGGGTTTAGGGTTTCGTATAAGGTATAGGATTGAGGGGTTTAGGGTTTAAGGTTTCGGACTTACAAGTGGTTGCAGATTGACGAACTCCTTCGCACTGGGAAGCCCGAGTGAGGCCAGAGGCGGTGGCGGCCGCTTGTGCAGGTACTCCCGGAAGACAGCTGCTTCCCAGCTCCGCAGGAACTGCACGGCACTTTGCATGGTCGAGGCAGAGAGCTCGGGCCAAGGCTGCAAATGACAGCAAATCTTCCTGTCCGCCTATATAAATATCTAGCGAGCCAGAGGCCCGCCTCCATCTTATGTAGCGAACCAGAGGCCCGCCCCGCTGCACACGACTGCATGCAAGCGATTCATTAAACCGCCCAGACATGGGATATATCTATCTATATATATATATATACATATTCATATATATATATATATATATATATGCATATACATATATAGATATATAAACATATTTATGTGTATATCTATATATATATATATATATTCATATTTCTATGTTTATTTATATACATATATATGATCTATGGCATATGACAGCTTCGATATATCTTTCTCACAGGTCTTTATATATATATATATATATAATGTATATAATATACACTATAATATATTATATATATATATATATATATGTATATTATATATTCTGTATATTATATATGTTTTATATATTATATACACTATATATATTATATTATATATATATATATATATATATTATGTAGTATATTATATATATTATATAAAAAATATATATATATATATATATATATATATATATATATATATTATATTATATATATATAGATAGGCTACTGGAGCGGCTGGAGCGACCCGCAAAGCCGCCGCAGTATAGTCGAGCCGCATGCTCTGTCCGAAACCCTAAACCCTCAACCCAGTCTCTTTTCTCAGAAGCGGAAGTGCACAGATCCTTCAGTCGCTCGGTCAGTCGTGGAACGGAGCAGCGATTTCGGCGAGCTCGTGACTCTTCTGCTTACCACTGCCACTGCTTCTACTTGTACTCTGGACCACAGTACTCGGCTTCACACTCGACTTGCCCAAGCCATCGATCAAGTGCTTGCACAGCTCTTTGCGGTTCTCCAGGGACCAGTGCTTCTTCAAGATCTCCGCGAGTTCGGCAGGGTTGCAATCGGCGATGATGCTGTCGTCAGCAGGATCCATGGCTCGATCTAACTTGACGAGATTCAGTATGCTTCGAACCTGTATAAAGATGTAAGTCGCAGACCCTCTGGGGATGTCTCTCTCACCATGCTACAGCGACCCAGCAGAGCCACCGAGAAGCCACCAACAAACGACTCATATATAACATCTCATACTTTTTCGGATATAAAGAGGAGGGAGATCAGCATGCTGCAGCAACCCAGCAGAGCCGCCAAGAAGCTAGCAACACGTGAGTGATATAGAAAATCGAATAAAGGAGGGAAAGTTGTTGAGACATGTCATGTATTTGCTGCACCAAAGGGCCGCCCGTATAATGTTGAAAGGTTGTATATGCTTGAAAATATGTAGCTATATAGGTTTACATTTGTATCTATATATATATATATATATATATATATCGCAAAGGCACCCAAGCAAGCAGCGCCCTTTTTCGAGGGTCAGAGCTGCCAGGAGCCTTCAAAGGCTAAAGCTCTCAGGGGTCTTCTCTTCCTTGTACCCCTCCTTCTTCTTCTCCTGGGCCTTCGCCGCCAGGTAGCCCTTCATGAAGCATTCCCGCCTGAGTATAAGAACTTCAGATCACATGCCTCTGCTCGTGTCTGCATGCAGCGACCCACATAGAACCGCCGACATTTGCTCGTGTCTGCATGCAGCGACCCATGGGGCCGCCGACAAACAAGGAAAACAAAAAACGCAGTCGTAATATTCAGTCAGGTGTCTCTTTCGTCGTGAGCTCGTTCCACCACTCGATGTCCACGAACACCTCATGCTCTTCGATGAGGATAACAAAGTGCGGCATTGCGGCGCTTGAGAGAAAAAAATACCGGGCTCTTCCTTGCAC